AAATAATTTGTTGTATTCTGCCTTATATGTCTGCTCACTGCAGTATGACCCTAACTCTATATGCAATATATATATATTGCATATATTCTCTCATATATATATATGAGAGAAAGGATGAATGTGTGTGTATGTGTGCAGCGTGTGTGTCCCATCGCACACACACTTGTGGAGGTTAGAGGACAACTCTTAGGAATCTGTTCTCCCCTGCTACCTTGTGGGATCCAGGGATGGAACTTTTTTGCCAAGCCTGGTTCAAGAACCTCTACTTGCTGAACCATCTTGCTGGCCAAAGACTTTTTTTGTGTGTGGTTTTTCAAGTCAGGGTTTCTCTGTGTAGCCCTGGAAGACACTGGAGAAAGAATCAGAACATGCTAGCACATGGAGAGACCTCTGAGTTTCTCCTGAGTCGCAAATGACATTGTGAAAATGTTTACACTGGTGTGGTGGTTGATACTGATGGCCAGCCGGGTGGGATCCAGCACTAACCCAATTCTGGTCCAAGATGGCTAGCTTCCATTATAAGCTGGAGATAGAAGTTGGCTGCAGCATCTGCCTGGCACTCCCTTTACAGTAATGCAATATGAAGGGGGTCATGGACTCATACACTATTATAGTTCCAGAAAACTTCAAAGGCCAACCAGTGTGTGACAGGGTTGAAGTCCTTGCAAGGATTCCCTGAGAAATAACTTCATTAAACCTAAGTTTCAGTGGAGACTTCAGGATTGTGGATATGCTAGGACCATGAGATGTCTGCCGATGTAAACTGAAGGCAGCCAGCCCGATGGGGGGCGGGGGGCATGTGTTCTGCAGGCAGCAGAGCTGGAGAGGCAGGCCTAACCAAATCCTGTGGAACCCAGATGAGTTTACCTCCAGATGCCAAACTTGGAGCTGCAGGATTTGTTTGCTCTACTTGGAATGAGCATGCTTCTTCTGTGCTAGCATTTATCGGAAGCTTGTCATCTGTTTTTTATTTTATAGATCAAACATGGTACTTGGACTTTGAAACAGTGTTGGAACTGTTTAAAGACAATGGGGGCTAAATGTATTTTTTTTTTAAATTACAAGACGGTCACAAGCCCACGTGTAATGCATTTTGGTGTAATGATGAAAGAAGGAGGAGTTGTGGTGATTAATATTGTCAGCTTGACATCATCGAGGGCCTTGTCAGTGACAGCCTCTGGGCAAGTATCAGATAGCCTACAAGGGCAAGCCTTTCCAGGGGGGTTAGCCTCTGGAGATAACTGAGAAGTTGTTTACATTAAGTTAGTTGAGGTGGGAAGACCTACCCTGAATATGGGTGGTACCATACTTGGGGATTCCATCCTGGACTGAATAAAAAGGAAAAATCGATCAAGTTGAGCATTAATATTCCTTGCTTCTGCTTTCTGATTGTGGATGCTCGGTGGAAGTTGCCCTATATATGTGCCTGCCACCATGAGGCTATGCTTTTGCACTATAAGACGAAATAAGGCCGGGCGGTGGTGGCACACACCTTTAATCCCAGCACTTGGGAGGCAGAGGGAGGTGGATTTCTGAGATCAAGGCCAGCCTGCTCTACAGAGTGAGCTCGAGAACAACACGAACCCCTTAGAGAAAAAAACTCACGAAAAAAAAAAAAAAAAAAAGACGAAATAAATCTTCTTAAATTGCTTTGTCACGCCTCTTAGCACAGCAGTGAGCAACTAATAACCACCATCAAAATAAACGTACAGGTTCAATGCAGTCCTCACCTTATCAGCATTCCAAGATTGTTTCTTCACAGATATTGGGGAAAAAATTAAATCTTAAAATTAATTTGGAAGTAGGAAAAAACCTCAGATAGGCAAGAAATCTAAGACAAATCAAGAATAAATGAAATCTGAGTTGTTCCCCCACCCGAATTCAAGGTTTGTCATTCAAGTACCATGTTTTTGTCACTATGGTTCTTTCACAAAAAAACAGACACATGACAGACAAGAACCAAGGAGCCAGGCAACTGGTGGAGTGATATTGAAAATATTAATTGTAGAAAAGAAAATATCTTCAACAAATCATGGCAGGGAAAATGGATACCTATATGTAAATTAGGTTTATCAGCCCTGTGGGCTCAGGGCTATCACCGATTGGTTCAGTGTAAAGACTTGAAATGTTAGACCAAAAAAAAAAAAAAAAAAAAAAGTGTCAGGCCAGTGCTTCAAATTATAGGCATAGGGAAGGACTTTCTGATGAATTATAGAGCTGCAGAGACAGTGACAGCAACGCAATGAAGAGGTAGCCTACAAGATAGGAGTCTTAGCTACACATGTCTGTAGCTGGTGTCAGTTACTTTGTGCGTTCTTTTTTCCCACCCTTCTCCGCCCTTTCAAACACCTAACACTGAGTAAAAAGGATGGAAAGGAAAGGGATGATGTTATCGTTAGACTACTTCCCGCTGAGTTGACATTGAGTTCCTTGTGGCAAGTTTGATCTTCACTGTAAGGACATCTGATTTCTTCTTCTCACCCTTTTTTTGCACATGACTACTTAAGAAACCTCGACCAACAGGAACTAACCAACAACCCACTACCAACAGCCCTACTCCTTGGGGCCCTAGCTTATATATTCCTTCTGGAGAGACCACCCCAGAATTCCAAACACAATCACAGAAACTATCTGCAGCTGGCAAAATCATGCCTCTGCTAGAGCATGAGGGAAATCATGCCCGGCTGCTTCAGACAGTCTGAAGCAGCTCCACATCCCATACCTGGGACTAAAATGAAAGTACATTCCTAGCTCTCTGATTTTTTTTTTTTTTTTGAGACAGGGTTTCTCTGTATAGCCCTGGCTGTCCTGGAACTCACTCTATAGACCAGGCTGGCCTCGAACTCAGAAATCTGCCTGCCTCTGCCTCCCAAGTGCTGGGATCAAAGACATGTGCCACCACTGCCTCTCTGATTTTTAAAGATACCAAAATTCTTATTGCACCTGTCAGAGAGCTAACAGCTAAGGTGTGCAGAACTAAAAATTGAATCAAGACATCAAATATACCAATAAAGGCAGACAGTGAAAGGAACAGAAAGCTCTCAAGATAAGAGGTATGATTATTAAACATGAAAGATGTTTGTTCTCACAAACCATCAGAGAAATGCAAATTAGAAGTACACTGAGATCCCAGTCAGAGTGGCAGCCATTGAAGAAACTGCAAATGCCAGCGAGACAAAGGAACCCTTGTCACTGATGGTGCGAATGTGAACTAGTCTACTCCCTATGGGATTTAGGATGGAGGTTCCTCATAAAACTAAAACAAGAGCCACCAAGAAACAGTTCCTGAATATTTACCCAGGGGACCTCAAATCAACACCCCACGGAGCTGACTAAACATCATTTACTCCAGCACAATTCACAATAGCCCAGCGATGGAACCAACTTAGGTTCCTAACAGCAGAGGAATGGGTGAGGAAAATAGATGGTATATACATGACCGAATCTTCTTCAACCATAAGGAAGAACGGCATTGTACCATTTGCAAGATAGATGCATCTGGAGATGATCACAGTAAGGAAGTAAATCTGATTTCTGAAATGTAATCCCAGTGTGTGTGTATATGACATGAAGGTAAAGCAAGACTTTCTGGGAGAACAAAGACTTTCTGGGCTAAATGGAAGTCAGGTGTGATTGGAGTGAAAATGGCCCCATAGGCTCATGTATGCTTGGTCCCCAGTTGGTGGGGATTAGGAAGTGTAGCCTTGTTGGAGGAACTGTGTCACTGTGGGTGGGCTTTGAGGTTTTCAAAAGCCCAGCCATCCCTGGTTAGCTCTCTCTTTGTCTCCTACTTGGGTATAAGGATATAAGCTCCTAGCTACTACTTCAGCATGACTGCTGCCATGCTTCCACCATGATGATCACAGAACTCTAACCCTCGGGAACTTCGAGCACCAAATGAAATGCTTTCTTTTCTAAGTTGCCTTGGTTATGGAGTTTCTTCAGGGCTGTGGAAAGTGGAGACAGCAGGGTAGAAAGAAATGGGAAAGAATATGTTTGGCACATGTTACATACTTCTATGAAAATGTCTCTATGTTGTGTGGAATTAATTATGCATGATGAATGTACAGAGTGAAAACTTCAGTGAAAAATAACCTTAAAGTTACCGCTTAAAAAACCCAGGAGCTGAGGATAAGACTGTCAGCAGAGTGCCTGTGTGCAGTCGTGAGAACCTGAGCCTTCGTACCCAGCACCCATGGAAAGTCTGGGCGTGGTGGTGTGAGCCTGTAATCCAGCATGGTGACGACAGAGACAGTGGATCCCAGCATGGCGAGGACAAACAGTGGATCCTGGAGCTACCTTCCCAGATAGTTTAACCAATCATTGAACTCTGGGTTCAATTTTGAGACCCTGTTTCAAAAAAATATATAGAGGACAATGACAAAAGACATTCAATGATCAAGCAAAGATCAACCAAACATCAACTAGCAAAATGTGCACAGTCATTTCAATTCGAGACCATCTACCCATCCTGAGGCTCCTGGCAACCCTCCTTTACTTTTAGGTAAGGTAGAGTATTTCCGGAAGTTAGTGAAAATTAAAACATACAATATAACAACTCTTCCGTAGACTTGCAGAGTTTCAAAGGACTTCATGGACAGAAACTGATTTTCTTTCGTTCCTCAGGGAACTGGTCCACTGGTAAATCTGCATCAGCAGGAAGGAGAATGCCTTAGTCCACTTGTGCTGCTACAATAAAAGACCTGAAGCTGTGTCAATACAAAGTCCATAGGTTTTATTCCTCGCAGTTAGGCAAGTATGGTGTCCAGTGGGGACTGCTCCCTTACTCCATTGCTGCGTGTTCATGGCAGGGAGTGGCCGGGCAACCAGTCAAGCGCTACACAGACCTCAGTTACCATAAAGATCGCAGCCCTTACTGGTGTCGTCACTTCAACACCTAGAGCTTAGAAAGGGGCCCATTCAAACCATAGCAGAGAACCACACGGCCTGGTTGATTCATGCCTGTGGTTTTCTACCTGCCAGTCTCCTGGGGACTCTACCTGAAAGCTCTCTATTCGGCCAGGGCTGCACGTCTTGCCAGCAGCACAGCAGGAAGACAGATAAGAAGGTCCTCGCTCCTCTATTCACTGTCATGGTCCCTCCAGCAGAAGGAGGAGGCCCTTCCCCGGAAGGTCTTCAGCCTTCCCAGCCTTGATCTCTCGGATACGTGGAATGTCCGAGACCTGTGACATCATCACCAGGAAGTGATCAGGGTTCTTTTTCCTTGTGAGTAGGGCTGTGCTTGTCTGGTCTTTGGAAGGAAAGACTGACAGGAGTTGACTGCACCTAAGAACCCCTCTGCTTCTTTGTTCCGCCTATCAGTGTCTGCTTCAGTCTCAAGGCCTTCAAGGTAAGTCATTAGTCAATACTCTTAATGTGAAGGTCAAAGCCCAGCATATCTCCTTCCATGAACGGATGTCCTGGAAGGATTCTGGAGGACTTGGTGAATTGCAGGATATATGCCAGTGTTTCTTTAATTCAAGCAGATCCAGAAGGTCCTTGAAGAACATGGCCCATGAGTTCTGGGGCCCTGGAGGATGGAGCTCAAGTTCTAAAGACTCCAGGAGCTCCAGCCCCTCCATTCTCCTCTTTTGTTTGCATCCTTTTCTAGTTCTGTCCCTGAGAGTTCATCACAAGGCAGAACAAATGGCCACATTCTCTGTCATCTTCTTCCAGCTCTTCCTCTTAAGACTTGGAGTTTTCTCTCTCAGTACCATGTAGAATCTTCCAAACGGTCCTTCGGTTATCTTAGCTGTTCTCCATACTATCCCTGGACAGATCCAGTGCCCGCAGAGGGCATCCAGTGCCTGCAGAGGGCATACAGAATGCATCTAGTTCAGAGCACCAGTGGGTCGACCTTAAGAAATAGCTTTATACCTAGTGGTCCATGAAGTCATTCTGGATGCAAGGCCAGCAGTATCCCAACGACCCTGAGGACCCGGTGTGGTGTGCCCACCAGGGTTCTTTGGCACTTTGCTCTTATGGGAACCTGAAAGCACTTTCCCATTTCAGTAGTCTTCCTCGCCCAAATGTCTGTTTAATTCAGTGCCAGTTTGCGGTAGTCTGGCCTCATGGACATCGTCATCCGGGAATCCTTCCCATGTGAGTCTGTTGTGTCATGATCTAGCAGGCAGGTAGTTGGGATGATACACTTGGACCAGGCATTTTTTTTCCTTTAAATTGAAAATGTCTTGTTTGTAATGGAGCTCCAGGTTAATAAAAACAAACAAACAAACAAACAAACAAACAAATCCCTGGCAGCTTCTGTTACTCCTTCGTGATCTTCAGGAAAATCTGGAATGTTGCTGAAGAAGGCTGAAGCTGTGTGGTGCCTGCTCTCCAGTACTGCTCTCTCTGAACTGATCTGTTATGAAGGTCAACAGTTTCATTAGGTCTTAACCTGGTGTTTTCCCTCATACATTTTCATATGAGTGACATATGACCTAAGAAGTCAGACCACACTATAGTTCCAGAAGCTTTTCTCATGTTTTTGTGGGGACTGTCCGTGGCATCTGCTTGCTTCTTGACCCAAGGACACCAGTGTTACTTGGGTTGAGGTTCTTGGTCTTCATTGTCTGTCAGCCTTTTTCTGATGGATGTAACTGCTTTCTCTAGTCATTGTGGTTTTGTATAGGCAAGTCAACCAGTTTCTGGAACAGCCATCTTGCCCATTATTTTCTCTTGCTTTGTAATAATATTATAACTTATAATGATATTATAAGGCTTTCCCAAGAAATGAGGTTTTGCTTACAGTTTTAAGTGATGTGCAGGCTCTGGTGAAGGGCCCATGGCAGATGCAGGAGAGCATGCAGGAGGAAAAGTCATGACTCAGAACAGGAAGTCAGGGTGGTACAAGTTCATCCAACCATCCTCTGAGAATGACTAGCCAGAGTCTCACAGGAAACACACGTTTCATGCTCCAAGAACTTCCTCCAGGTCCCAGTGTGCCAGCACCCCATCCTATGCACCTGCTGTAAGCATAGCCACTCCACTGCTGATCCTCTGTGTGCAAGTCTGTTCTGGTGTGTGTGTGTGTGTGTGTGTGTGTGTGTGTGTGTGTGTGTGTGTGTTGAGACAGGGTCTCCATGTGTAGCCCTAGCTGCCTGGCTGGTCTGGAATTTTGTGTAGATCAGGCTGTCCTCAAACTCACAGAGATTCCCCTGCCTCTGAGTGCTGGAACCAAAGGTAAGCACTTCCACACCTATATATTATTATTAACTTCATTTTTAGTCTTTTATGTAGCATGTTAAAGTTCCTTGCCATTGAGGAAGCGTTAGTCAATCCTCTTTGCTGTTATGGTTCTTCTGTGTTGTCGATTTGGCTGGCCTTCATCTAGCATTCTTTTTTCTTTTCTTTTTTTTTTAAACTATTTATTTATTTATTTATTTATTTATTTTATTTATTTAATGTAAGTACACTGTAGCTGTCTTCAGACACCCCACAAGAGGGCATCAGATATCATTGCAGATGGTTGTGAGCCACCATGTGGTTGCTGGGATTTGAACTCATGACCTCTGGAAGAGCAGTCAGTGCTCTTAACCACTGAGCCATCTCACCAGCCCGCATTCTTTTTTCTTTGTCATCATGTTTCCTAGTTCGGTTTATGCTGCTGTGATAAAATATGACAAATGCAACTTGGGAAAGGAAGGTGTTTGTTTCAGCTCATATTTTCAGATTACAGTCCATCTTGTGGGGAAGTTAAGGAAGCAGGACCCCAGTCAGCTCACACACACAATCCAAAGAAGAGAGTAATGAATGCATACATGTCTGTTTGCCTTTGTGCAGCTCGACTTCCCCACTCTTTCATACAGTTCTGGATTCCCTGCCTAGGGAATGGTGCTGCCCATAGTGGACTGACTGGGTCTTCCCACACCAGTTAATTTAAGACATCTTCATAGACATGTCCACAGGTCAGCCCCGTGTAGACAGTTCCTCACTGAGACAATTAAATCTAACTAGCACACCATGTTAGAATGTTAGAATACAATTCCATATGTTTGTTTCCATCTCCTTCGCACGTTGGAAGGCTTCTCAAAGTTTAAGTGACCACACAATGCACCTCCAGTGTTCTTTAAATTTAACTCGATTCCTCTAAATTTCCCACACATCCTTTGGAGAAAGACTTGAGGACTGGTTTGTGGAATCTCCATCTTTTTCTATAAGGAAATGGAGTTGAGAAAGAAGGTAGAACAGGAGAGAGCCACAGTGGGCTCACCCTCCTCAGGTGTCTGAATCCTGAGGGCAGACTTTGTCACTCAGAAAACCTGGATGGAAGAAGGAGAGGTATAACCAGCAGGAGGGGCCGAGGGTTGGTGACAGGGAAACATCCCGGGAGCTCACGTTTTGATGGGGAACCAATGGCAAGATATCTGCCGAGGAAGGACACCCCAACACCTTTTTGCATGTACACATGCACTCATTCATGGGTCTTCATTGCCTACAGATCAAGTTTCCTAGGATGGTCAGGGTGTCATGTTGGCTATAAATCTCTGTAATAAAACCCAAGACATTGGCATCTCCCGTAAGTCTAGGAACGAATAGGTGTGGCAGCTCAGTTGTTAGCTTGGCTATGTAAAGTCACACCTCCCTAAGAAAGCTAAGGGTGGCCAGAAGAGGGTTGCATACCTTTAATCTCAGTACTGGGAAGGCAGATGTAGGGGGATCTCTGTAAGTCTGAGGCCAGCCTGATCTACAAAGCAAGTTCCAGGACAGAAAAGGTTGATATACTGAGAAGCCCTGTCTTAGAGAGAGAGAGAGAGAGAGAGAGAGAGAGAGAGAGAGAGAGAGAGAGAACCCCAAACAACAACAAATGCTAAGGCTTACCCACAAGTCTGTGCTAATATTTAAGAAATTCAGTTTGACTTTGGCAGGTTCTGATTTTTTGTTTGTTTTTGTCTTTCGAGACAGGATTTCTCTGTGTAGTCCTGGCTGTCCTGGAACTCACTCTCTAGACCAGGCTGGCCTCGAACTCAGAAATCCGCCTGCCTCTGACTCTCAAGTGCTGGGATTAAAGGTGTGCGCCACCACTACCCGGCCAGGTTCTGATTTTTATTAGTCTCTTTGTATTGTTGTTAAAGAAGTAATTCAATACAAATTTAATAAAACATTTTTCTTTTTAAAAAATGTGTGTGTGTGTGTTGTGTGTGTGTTGTGTATGTATGTGTATTGTGTGTGTTGTGCATGTATGTGTTGTGTATGTATGTGTATTGTGTGTGTTGTGCATGTATGTGTTGTGTATGTATGTGTATTGTGTGTGTTGTGTATGTATGTGTTGTATGTGTTGTGTATGTATGTGTTGTGTGTGTTTTGTGTGTGTGTGTTTATAACAGTGATATAGAAGTCAGACAATAACTTGTAGAAATCAATTCTCTCTTGTAGCAACCTGAGGATTGACATCAGGCCGTCAGGTTGCAAGTACCTTTATCTGCTGCTGCTGCTGCTGCACCATCTGCTGGCCCTGTTGCTCTCTCCTCCTTGCTGTGTGCAGACCGCTAACTAATCAGAGGTAAGGAGTGTGAGAGCCTGAGGTGACGGCTGAGGTGACGGCTGAAGCTGTACTCTCACCTCACCTCCCAGCTCAGCCTTGCTTAAACTTGTAATTTGAGGTGACTGTGGATTCATGTGAAGTTGGAAGAAGGCCACAGATAGGTCCCCTCAACTTAGCAGTGTCTCCCAGCAGAGCGTCACCAGTCAACAGCAGGACACCTCAGACAGGGCTCTGACACCTGTCCTGTCTGGACCCTCGTGCTGTCCTGTCGCAGGTATGAGTTTTTCTTAGGCCAACTTGAACAAACATGTCTTCACTCTAGACAGGGCACTGATGAAGAACCAAAGAAATAATTCCACCTGGGTCAAGTTTGGTCTGTCGAGCCAGTGACATTGTTGGGGCTACTTACCAGAGAGCATGGGGTGACTCAAAGGCAGCTGCATCTCTCAGAGCAGCCCAGCATAGGTGATAACTCACCAAGGCTGCTCGTCTGGTTTTCCTTGCACAAGTTGTTGGCAGCTCCACTGGAGTCTCCTTTTGCCCAGAAACTTTCCAGTTCTCTCAGTAAAGATTTTTGCCTGTATAGTCTAGGGATGGGGGTGGGGGT